AGACGGGGTAGTGGGTGGAGGCAGCTCCCAAAGATGAGAGCCATGAGTAGACAGGCAACCGACAGACATAACAACTAAGATCACAGTTGTAATAGCTGACACTTACATAGTTACAGCGCCATACTAAGGGCCTTAAAGATATCAGTTAATTTCATCTTCAGCACAACCCTAGGAAGGAGCCATTAATAGTCACATTTTGCAGATGAGGGAACTGAGGTACAGAGAGCTTCAGTCCATTGCCCAAGGTCACGCACTTAATAACTGGCAGAGCCTGGGCTCAAACTCATTGAGCAATTTCATCTCTTTGTGTCTAGACCTGCTTACAACAGCAGCACCAAGTGTAGAATATTGCATATCAGGAAATTCTAACTAACAGTAGCATATTTTGGTGGCTATTTTGGGAGTCAGGAGGCAAAGAGAGAGGAACTGCAGAATTCTTACTCTGTACTTTATTCCAGGCACTTTATATATATTATGAGATTTAATGTGTACTATAATTGAAATAAGTATTTAAACCTCGTTTTACTGTGGAAGAGCCTGAAATTCAGATGGTTGCGTGACATGCCCAGGATTCCACGCCTAACAGTAGCAGAGTCAGAGTCCTGACCCAGGGCTGATACCAAAGCCTGAGGACTTTCTACTCCATCCCTCTGCCGCGTTAGTGTTCCGACAAACAAGGTAATGTGCAAGGTTGGGGATAATTGAGTCAATTATGAAACAGCCAAAGCAAGAGGCAACTTCCTCAAAGCAAAGTTGTTTTTTTTAAATTCACTTAAAGATGTGTATTCCATTAGTCTGACTAAATCCATTTACTCTACTTCCTTTTGCTTTTACAAGCATTAATCTGCCTGTCCTTTAACTCTGCTGCACACACTGTTTTTACTTAAGATGAAATTAGTCAATTCTTTGCTTAAGATACAACTATGTAGGACCAGCAGATGGCATAATGGTTATGTTGCTGGATTCCCACATAGTAGACTATGGTTCAAGTCCTGGACCCGGCAGCTAAAACTCACGCTGGGCACATGTGTTTACATGCCAAAAATCCCAAGAGGAGAATGGAAGAGAAAAGACTGCAGTGTGGCCATCCCCCCTGGGGTGGGGTGGGGTTATTTCTCGCTTTCTCTCTTTCCGTCTCTGTCTCTGTGGTGAGCTCATGTGCCCTATAGCAAAAAATCACTCTCAAAAAAAAAAAAAGAAAGAAACAACTGTGTAATAAAGCTTACTTTGGCTTTGTCCTTTCTTATTGCTAATAGCTAGTTGGAAATAAATTTTCAGGGCTCACAGAATAAGGTGAATTTTTTTCTCTTAATAACTAAACCTCAAAGGCAAAAACAAATCCTTTTGAAGTATCCTGTGTGTGACTATTTTCCTATCTCATTCATTATGCTAGCTGTCTCTATTAATCTTTTTATAAACTCATTATTTTCATCTTGGAATGCAGTGTAATTTCTTCTCCAGGAGTAGACCTTTTTTATTAATGAAAGAAAAAGGTAAAAATAAAGTATCTTGTTTAACGTTGGCGCTCTGTGGAGGAGTAACAGCTGTCACAGAGGTCCACTAGTCTGTGATGAATGCTAGATCCATCTAGTCATATTCAGCCAAGTAGCGTACAATGTAAGATCATTCACAAACCACTGGAACTCAAGATACTCCAAAGGCATTTCTTAAGTTACTTACACATTTTTTTATTTGTTCAATTTTTCCTTCATTCATTTTAGTAAATCTGCTCAACTGCAATTGAAAAGGAGTCATTGAGACCAGGAAAGGCAGGACAAGTTTTGGACACTGGATTTGAATGTAAAAAATATCCCACTTATGACTTTTCCAATCTCATTCATTATTCTAACTATCTTTATTCATCTTTTTACACACACATTATTTTCATCTTGGAATGCAGTGCAATTTCTTTTCTACAAGTAGGCTATTTATTTAATGAAATAATAAAGGTAAAAACAAAGAATCTTGTGTAAGATTGGTGCACTTGTAGGGGGTAGCAGTGTTGGAAAGTGACCGGGCCCAGTTTTTGCAAAGAGTTGGAAAAGAGGTGGTTCCTGACTCATTGGGCTCTCTGAACCGACTACTTCCACAGAACTGCCTGGGCATGTGGAGGGAGCTTGTATGCACCAGAAGCTCTACCTGAATCATCTCACTGAATGCTCCTCTCCCAACAATGCTCTGAGGAAGGCATTATTAAGCCACATATTCCACATCAGGAAACTGAGGCTGAGAAGGAAATAAAATGAATGGAGTGATACAGCTGGGAAAGAGCTTACTTAGAAGCCGAGACCAGTCCTAAACAACTCCACACACCACATTCCTCCCAGCTCACCATGACACCTCCACCATGAAACTTCCTACAGATACAACCCTGAAGGGCTGCATAGAGCCACAAGCAAGCAAAAACTACTTAGGACTTCCTAGAGAAATCCTGCTTATGGTGTGTTCAAATGTATTTTATTGACCGAACTGCATTTTATTCCTGGCTTCCCAAACCCCAGGCCCAGATTTACCAATCCATCTTATACATAGCTATCAGCAGTCCCTCCCCAAAACACCACCGTCATTATGCTACTCCCCTACTGAGGCCCTATGGCCTTTGTGATAATATTCTTGGGCCTTAAGGAAACTTGAGAGAGAATCATTGAGAAGCCAAGTAAGCCAAGTCAAAATCACAGGAGGGAAATTAACCTGAGAAAGGGGAAAGGAACTTCCTTTCTCTGTGAAAAGGAGGAAAGATGAGAAACCTCATTTAGAGCTAGAATCTTGGAGGTGGAGGGTTCTTAGAAGGGAATCTCCTACAAGAGATAATATATGTGGAACACTTCCAAAAAGGTCCTCCACAGACATAGTGTGTTTGAGCATCTGCCAAGAGTCATAAAAGAAAATCTGGCTCAAGAGATGTAAGGAACATTCTGTCATAATGAGAATACTCTCCATGCTGGGCTGCTGGGCTGCCAAAACACTCATTCTGAAGTACCGTTGGTGTGGAGGATGCTGCGGTACACCACCCAGGTCTTCCTGAAACAAGGGCTTGTTGCCACCTGCCTGCCCTAGCTGCTAGTCCATTCCAGCGAGCTGCCTTACCAAAGTCAGGCCCCTTGGGAAGCCCATATCTAGTGATGAGTCATTATGGAGTAGAAGACCTCGCCATCTAGTTTACTTCCATGAAACTGGTTATCAGCTAGACACCCCCCACTGAAAATCTCTCAACTACGTTACCTCTATCGGGGAATTTTTTGCCCTGATTGGTTTTGCTATCTAACCACCTAGGCAGATACTCCAGCTCCCTTTCATGCCTCCATTTTCTTTTCAAATATTTATTTATTTATTTATTTATTTATCTATTTATTTATTTTAGGTTTTTGCCATGGGGCATGTACACTTGCCAGAGAGAGAAAGAGAGGGAGATAGTGAGAAAGAGAATGAGAAATCATCCTGTTGGGGGAGATGGCCACACTGCAATCCCTTCTCCCCCATACTGCTCCATGTGGGGCATGTATGCACATGTGCCCAGCATAATTTTCAAGCTAACAGGTCTTGACTTAAACTGCAGGAGTCCAGCGCCTTAACGACCAGTCAAACTGCTGGCTCCACCCACCTCCAATTTCTTGCTTTTTTCCTGTCTCAAGTTTAGGAAGCTTCTTCTTTATTGTATATACTCACAAAAAAAGCTTTCTGAACACTACTGGGGACTGTACAGTGTGACCTGCACCCTTCTTAGTCTCAGTGTCCTCTAGTTCACTAAAGTAAGCTGTAGGCAATCATTCTTGCCAAACAACTTGGAATGTCTCCTGTTCTTGCCCTTCTTTTTATTACATAAACCATTGTCTCAGTTGCCATTTTAACGAGCACATGTCAGGGATTCTAGAATATTCATCTGGGTGAACTCTAAGCCCTGGTTTAAGTAAACCACTTTATTCACTTATTATGACTCAGTCTTCCTTTCAGGTTGACAAAAATCAAAGTGCAGGCTGATTGGGTTTCTTGAGGAGGGGCTCTCTTCCTGACTTTCAGATGGCTGCCTTCTCCCAGTGTCCTCATATGGTAGGGAAATAAGCTCTCTGGTGTCTCTTCTTAGAAGGGCCTGATCCCATCCTGAGAGCCTCACCATCATGAATCCATCTAACAAATACCTCCCAAAGGCCCCATCTCCAAATGTCATCACACTGGAGATTAAAACATTGCTATGGTTTGAATGTGTCCCACCCAAAATCACATGTTGAAATCTGGAGAGCCATTGTAACAGTGTTGAGAGGGTGGAGACTTAATCCAATTTTGTTTTGAAAGGGGGGACTTTGGCCCACCATGATTGAACACTCTACTCATGGGTTTATGAGAAGAGATACACAGATTTGGTTTGCTCAAGATTTTGCTACATGGTGCTCTGAGCCGTCTCATGACATACCCAACAAGAAGACCCTCACCACATATGGCCCCTTGATCATGGGCTTCCAAAACAGGGAACTAAACAAACCTTTATTTTTTTTGGGGGGGGGGCTGGGGTGGGGGATGGTTTTTGCTATAGGGCGCATGCACTCGCCAGAAAGACAGAGAGAGACGGAGAGACAGAAAGCAAGAAATGACCTCCTTCCTGGGGGAGAGGGGAATGGCCACGCCACAATCCCTTCTCCTCCATTCTCCTTTTAGGATCTTGGGCGCTCACGCACATGTGCCCAGCGTGAGTTTAAGCCACCGGGTCCGGGACTCGAACTGCAGTCGACTATACAGGAGTTCAACGACATAGCCATTACACTAACTGTTGGTCCCAAAACCTCTATTTTTTATAAATCACCCAGACTCAAACTAAAACAGGGATCAACATCTCAAGGAACACAATTCTGCCCACAGCAGCAGTACAAAGAGTGCTTCCCTTACAGGATTGCTGTAAGAATGAAATAAGCCAACATAGGTAGAGCCCTAGACCAGGAGCTACCACACAGTAAATGCTTTATTTGTAAGTGCTAGCTGTTATTCTAATTATTCAAGTCACAAAAGCTGGAGCAGAAACAGAAATGTCAAGTAGAAGTCCTCTTTTGTTGGCGTTCAGTTCCTTGGGGCAATGTGGTCTCTCAGAGGAAGAGGGAAAAATAAGCTTATTCTTGGGAATTAAGAATGGGCCTGTTTTCATGCAAATATTGGCTTGGAAAGCCCCTTTGCAAGCAATTATTACTAAGGCGCAAATCTTGAAACCTGTCTTCCCTTTCATACCTTTTCTCTGCTTTGCCTTCTTTCCGTTGTGATCAAATGCCTCGCTGTCTCAGAAACATTGTCCACTTAGGGGATTACTCTTGTTAAAGAGTATTTAGCTTTTAATCCCACAAGGCACAAGCAGGTTGAAATATAAGACATCATAGAAAAGAAGAATTTAGCAGGGTTAATCTAGAGGTGAGAGGTGAAAAGGGGTGAAATGGAATCCAAAAAAACCCATCTCAGTGGAAATACTAGTTATAAGAGGGGCAGGCAATGGTTAACTTTCTCAATCTGCCATTAGCTCTGGAACTGTGTACAAAAACAATGCATTTTATTTGGCTTCCATATCTTCTTCACCTGCGTAGAGTTTCAGCTTATTTTCTCTTGGAGGCAGACTATTGGGTTATTAAATTCTGCATTTAGGCGACGTGGCACTGATGTCCTTGATGAAGTGAAGAGAAGATTGCAAAATCCTTGAGGCTGGAAGCAGTGGGTCTTCATCACTTCTTGGAATTCTTAAATCTCATCCATTGCTGATTTTATTTAAGTTGCTGAATTCACTGGCGATTGTCAATATCTTGACTGTTTTGGTCACTGCCATTTTAATTATTTTCATTGTTGTTAGGCTGTAAAATTGGCAGCCCAAATCCTTAAATCCCTAGTTGGTCTTTTCATTCTTTCTATTTATTTCCTGCTTGGTTCTCCACCTTAAGGAATAAGAAGCATTGTTGTAAATAGGGGGATGATGATGAAAGACCGAGTATACACTGGGAGGGTGAGGAGGGGCTTTATAGAAATGGAATTTATATATCATAAAAATTCACTCTTTGTAAAATATACAATTCAGTGAGTCCTAGCATATTCTTAGCTGTGTAAGCACTGTCACTATATAAATCCATGACATTTTCATCATCCTAAAATGAAACCCTGCACCCATTAACAGTCGCTCTCTATTCCCCCCTCCCCTAGCCCTTGGCAACCACTAATCTTCCTTCAATCTGTATGGATTTGCCTATTCTGGGTATTTCATTATAGACGAATCACATATTATGTGGCCTTTTGTAACCTGCTTTTCTCACTTAGCATAATCTTTTCAATGTCTCATACATTTTTGATAGGCTGTAAATTGGTTCAATATTTAGAGGGAAATGTGTCGATATCCATCAACACTTAAATGTGACTCCTCTCAGAAACTTTATGTCCAGCAATCAGTCCTCCAGAAACATTCCCACATACATAACTATGGTCGTACAAAGATATTCATTACAGCATTGACAAAGAACGGAAAAATCTAAAGTATACGAGGTAGGGCTGTCTGAATACCTTCTGGTTCTACCTGCCAGGAGAGTACTGTGCAGTCCTTTGCAGGGTGACTCAGTCCTGTGTAGAATGGTGTAGAATGACTGCCAGAAGCTGTTGGTAAATGAACAGGAGGGAACATGGTAAGGAACAGAACAGCGTGTAAAGCTGACTTTTACCTGTGTAAAGCAAGTATATGTATACACATGCATATATATGTATATACGTGTGTGTGTGTGTGTATATATATATATATATGTATATATATATATATATATATTTATTTATAGAGGCATATATGTGCATTCATATATACCCAAATATTTACTGTGTTTATGTGTATGTGTGGACTACACAGAGACTCCCACAGCCTCTGTCCTGCTCGGGCTT